ATAAAGTCAAAAAGTAAAAAAAATGTTGTATGACAGCACGACCACATCATGTATTCCAGCTAATTAATTTTACCTGTATTGAAGTTTCTTTTAGGATATTTATATAGATATAAGACTTAATATGATTGGTATCTATTATAACTTTTTAGAGATGAATTGAAAAATCTTTAGGTGTAAAATCTATGTGTTTTTATCCCCTGGAACCTCCAATGTTATGTAGGGTGATGAAAAGTCTTAAAGATCACCAGTGACAATGATAACCGCAAAAAGCTGTGAATGTTTGTGATTTTTTTTTTTTTTTTTTTTTTTTTTTTTGGAAAGGGGGGGGGGGTGAAATCCTCTAAACATTCTGTGTACAAGAATAAAATGTGTCTATTTTTTTTTTTAGTAAAGGCCATGCAACCATTACATCACATTCTACCAATAGTGAGATATATTTATCTCTATGATTTTTAGACTGAATTGCCAGAGTTATTTGTTTGAATTTCTAATGTTAAATTTAAAAAGATGAAAACAAACAAAGCATGATGACACTGTCCCATCAATCATGCATTGTGATGCGTCATTGATGCCAGCGTATTGCGGATGCTATTTTTAACAGGTTCGTCACTTCTTAAGTACTATGATTATACATTGTAAAAACTGATTGATTGCTAGGACTCAGAAGTTTGTGAAGATGTCCTCCCACCTTTTCCTATTTTATATTTTTGTAATTTTTTTTTTTGTTATCATTGGTACATTCATAAAATACCGGTAAATGCAAGAAATGTTTCCAAGTCATATACCAGTTACCTGAGGTTGCTTTGGGCTGACAATGACTCAATTTTTGTACTGAACAATTCTTTGATTTTACTGAGTACTTCTGTTCTATTAAACAAGATTTCTACTGATTTTGCTTGGTGGTAATCTTGGAAATATATTAAGTAGCAAAGGGTACCTGTTATAAATTTTCTTCATTTACTAAGATGATTCTCTCTCTATCTATCTGATAAAAAGCATGTATTCCCCCTTTGATAATCCCAAATTCTTTTTCCTCCATAAAATCAAAAAAAATATCATGAACCTGATCTAGAAAGTACATAAAATATTTCTGTGTGGAAAACAAATTAATTTCACTTGATCCAAAAATTAGAGAAGACCAAATTTGGAAACTTTGGTCCAACAGAACACCCTCCTACAATGACCAGCAGATATTGTAGTAGATGGGCCCCCAAGGTGTTACAAAGCTTCAGAAAGTGCATAAATCTAGATTCCGTTCAAAATGTCTTGGACACCTTTGATGCACACCGGAAATGTGCAGTCATTATTTCAGCACACCTGTCGCTCAGTTTCAATGTCAGCTTTATCTCATTATAGGTGATTGAAAGCATTCTACCTGGGGTGTTACAATTCCATCATTTTTTTCTCCACAAAACATTAAATCAGATTATTTTAATAGCTCTGTGGTACATTTGTTATAGTTCATTTTTCACCCTTGTTGACTTGATCAACAAAAGGAAAAGGGGAAATCTCCTGGACTCTCAATGACAAATGGAAAAAATATTCCAGAACCAAGTGAGTATTTATTGACATGTAAGTTTCTTGTCTGGCTTTTCGGACCCAGGAACACTCCTTTTGTGGCCTGCGGCCTGACACCTACTTGAAGTTTTGATAGACAGCGAAGTTTATGCAAAATCAATACATCTCGCTCATTGTCAATTTCTGTCAACCTGACTAATATGTCAGACTCAAAAGGCTCGAAATTTACAACGGGTTGACAGGTGAAAATTGGAATGAATTCAAACAAAGCTCTTCAGATACAGTTCTGATCCTCTGGGAGGTACTGACTGATCGACAGGGCCTTCTGTTCCATCATTCTTTCTGTACTCACTCTGTATTATTTGAACTATTGGTACAGTAGTTCTAATCCTGATGACATTTTTATCAGTTTTTTTTTCCCCCAAGAAAGTTTATTTCTAGATTTTTTTTTTTATCTATCATTTGTTAAAAAAAAAAAATTAAATTGCACCAGTCTTCTTTGATGCCAAACAATTATGTTATAAGCATTTTTTTTTTAAATCATGTTAACTTTTGAGCTTTGCAAAGGAAGTCACACTTTTTAAAGAGATATGAACTGTTCAGATGATTGACAACATTTATCTGTATGCATTTTTGAAATCAAATAAATTTTTAAAACCCTGTCAAAAAGCATTGATAAAGTGTTTTGAAGGGTGTAATTAATTAAACATGTTTATCAGATATCAGTCATCCTGTTTATTAAGGTTTTTTTATATTTTTAAATTCCACACCTCTCTTACATAAATTTATAACTAGAAGCAGTGTTAGTTTACTTATTATCATTTGATTTATATGGGTGACACATCATGTGCTCTGTTTAGTGGGAAAGAGAGAAATGGCAAGTTAATGTTTCCCCTCCTATCTGATTGTCTTCCAGATCAGGGTGACTTCATTATTTTTACATCCGAGAGACCGTCTGTGCCACTCGGTGGTTGAAGATCAACATAAAAACTGTAACATCTGCCTTAAGCCAGGACCCCTCACACAAAAAAACGGTTATGCCGATGTAATGTTGCATGTATTGTTTTGTTTGCTTTGCAATCATTTATCTTGTTGATGAGAGGAAGGCAGAATGCTTGGCTGTCTCGTGTAATCAGAGTCGTCAGTTTCAGAGGGCCAGTCATACCTGTGAGTTTCATTGTACACCTGTCTAGTCTCCGATCAATATTTCCTCATCAAATGTTTGTTGATTTTTTAAAAAACCTGTCGACTGAAGCAAGCTACTTGTCAGTTGCACAAACGAGATGCAGTTAACAAAGTGACAGCAGTCGGTAAGCTGAGAATTGTGTGGGGAACTACTCGAGATGTGGACTCGGCTCACTTGAGATGATAGGCACCTGAGTGAAGGATACTCGTGTTAATGTTCATTGTGTTTGGGAAGTGTGATTGTTGATAACGTTTTAATTACTTTCTAGGAATTAGTTAGTGTCACTTTGGATTATCAACATTTTTGTGTTTAAGTAAGAATTTGGCATTTAATTCCTAACCCTCTGATTAAGTTTGAAACGTTAGCAGGAAGTTTATGAATGGTGAGGGTTAAGCAAACAATGCAACTGAAAATTGTCCAAGGTAAATATAAGTTTTATTTTATAAAGTTGAAAAATTTAATTAAGATGCTATAAAAAATGGAAATTTAATTATAACAAAGGTTGAAAAAAGATTTTACACATTTGTTTGATCCTACCCACCCAACAATTTTCCATTTCATCTATAATGATTTATATCTCTAAAAACATTGAGCAACCTATTTAATTATTTTGACAATAGTTCAGTAGCTTATTTGTTATTGGAAGAAAATACACACAGTGGTTAAGGGCATTGATGCTGAGCTGTCTTTATGTCAGCACTCATTACTTATGGTACATTCCATGTAGTGTTGACAGATTATTTCTGTAATCAAATGGTACATCTGTCAGTCTTTATCAGGACAGACGACCACTGCTTCAGTACTCGCCCTCTACTTCAGCCCTCAGTCACTACACAGACAGTTGTCAAACAACACAAATAAAAAGAGGATTTACTAAAATAACTGTCAAAACATGCTAAAACTGTCCAACGCACTGCATATAAGATGTGAATTTGAAATGTTAATTTGGGGAATTTAATTTCAATCAAAGCTGAAGTATCCTTGAAAAGGTCCATCTGTGCATTAATTAGTGTCTTGATTAATTAATACTGCATTGTCTATTGTGTGTAGAGAGTAATTGAGAGATGACAGAGAGTCATCATTAATATGAGAAAGGGGTGTCAGTTGATTTAGACAAAACCATCATTTCATCTTGGTCTCCCCATTAGTAAGCTGATGAAATATAATGCTGGGGTCAAGCGGACACATCAACATGAAGATACAGCTGGACATGGGGTGTCACTTACAGTGGCTTGTCACCTGTCAACTAAAGCTCATCAGCTTGGCGTTAAAGAACGCAGGTGTACGCCAAAGGAATCTCGGTCTCACAGCTCAAGGGGAATAACTCTCGCTTATCTGATGGTCCAGTAGGTTATCTTGTTTGGGCGCTGGAGGTGGACTGACGTGTTTATTAATCAGTTTGACACATGGACAGCACTTTCATGTGTGTTTTATGGGCCACAGACAAACATGTAATAATTGTGTGGCAAATCGTTGTGTGATGGACAAAAGGGAGGCTAACTTATCCGGCTCTATATCTTCAGACAGGTAGTTATCTGTTTTGCATAGTGAATTTCATAGATGAAAATATTCCAGATTTCTCTAATTGAAGAAGAGAGAATTAAATGTGTTGGGTCTAATGTAGGAGTTGAATTGCATAATGATGACAGTTTATTTACATGTTGCTTACAGCACCATGACATATCACAGTGTAAAATTGACATTTGTGGAAAATTGGACCAACAGAAGACAATTAGAATAAACATAAATTGTCATCAGTCTTAATGACTGATTCACCTATCACTCATTTTAAATCTCTTGGTTTGAACCAGACTGAACACTCTCTTTCATAATCTGTTCAGACCTTAGCATGTGACAATGCTGTTTTCATGTTCTTTGGAATAAAGTATATTTCTTACGGACATTATTTTTTCTTAAAAGGTGTTGTGTTTGTTCTATGGGATTGGATTTACTCCATGATTTCCGTTGACTGCTACAGGTTTTTTTTTAATTTATTGTTTAGTAGAAGGACTTAAAAAGAAATAAATCTCCCAAATTAAATAACTTCCCTTTCTTCTGTCTCTGTTTGCAAGTTTGTATGAAGTTATCAGGGAAGTAGTTCATCAGGATGATATTCATTAAGGAAGTTAAAGAAAATGCATTTATATTACTTCTAAAATTATTTAATGTTTTGTTGAGTTTTATTAATTTTATTTTTTACCTTGCAACAGGAACAGCTGTCCTTTGTACATGTTGTAAATACGTGTTCATGTGCTGATACAACTTTAATTAAGATTTTTTTTCTTCATTTTTTCAGCCTCTGATGATGATCAGGGATCAGATGGTGACAATGAGGATGAAACATCAGATGATGAAAGAAAGTTAAAGACTTTACCTCTCAATGAAAAATCAAACTCAACTGAAGTAGACTCAAAAAAATATTCAAACACAGTCCCAGAACCGCTGGAAAGTGGTACCTCATCAAATAATAATCAGGAGGATTCATTAGAGAAATCAGAGCAGACGACATCTGAAAAACCTAGTGATAGTTCTGAATGTGACAAAATGACTCTGAAAAAGGAAGATAATTCTAAAAAGGAACCTGAAAAACGTCCTGAAACACCACCATTGAAAAGACTGATGAGGCAAGATCCATTGCCCTTATTTATGAGTGACAAAGGCCCATCACCTCCAAAGAAAATTTACCGAGATGAACTTTATTACAAAAAATTTGCCGTCCCATATTTTGCAACACCATCCATGGTCAAACATGCACCCACTCACCCTAGACAAGCAATTCTGAAATCCAAACACTACTCCAACAAATTTCCAAAGCATTTCAATCCATCCAATCCATATTCATTCCCAAAAGTCCATTCAGAGGATCAACCTTTAGACTTGTCTACAAAAGGATCATCCAAATCCAGTTCATTTGTGGACACAAGGAAATCAGCAGGAAAGTACACAAATGGATTCCTCTCAAATAGTTCTAGTCTTCAGAGTCTGCAAAGACGATTTGGTGGCATGGCAGGATTCCGCACCAGTCGCCGACCAATGAGTGGAATTCTCACAGGATTACCCTCCACTATTTCCCAGAAATCTCATTCAAATTCTCAGAAAAAAATCTATAATGATCTCACATTAAGTCAAAGTCATAAGAGTGAAAATAAGACTTCAGATTCAAAAGATCCAGTTTTAAGGGAAAAACTGAAAAATGAAGTTGACTCAAAAGCTGCTAGTGAAAAAGACCAGAATTCAAACATAACCAAAACAGGAAAGGAGAGTTCAGAGAGTATTGACAAAGAAGAAGACAACAAGTATACAATTCACAAGTGTTCTTGTCAGAAAACCTATAGTACCCTATATGGACTTAGCCTTCATTTACAGGAATCTGGACATCTACCAGCGGGGACAAAACAGACCAACCTAATGGAGTATCCAAAACTAGTGAGAGGGCAAGACATGTGGCTTAACCAGGAATCTGAACAGACCAAAAAAATTCTTAGATGCATTCAGTGTGGTGAGTCCTTCAAATCTCTACCCATGTTAACTGTTCACATGATGCAGACACAACATTACACAAAAATCGTTACATCTGAACATGGGAGGCGGTCACACAAGTGTTCTGTTTATTGTGACCGGGATCTGGACAGGGAGTGTATTTTCAAGTGTAAGGTGTGTAATAGTGCTTACAGTGACATGGAGGGCTTGGCCAACCACATGGTTCTCTCTGGTCACCACAAAAAGAAAATGCACCAAATGTCGCCTTTTTCTGATTTCAAATTAAAACTGCCACAAAAACGGTACATCCGGGAGGAGCAGATTGACAGGTCCATGTCACCTGTAGGAAGCACTCATGAAGAATCTAAGGCTAAAATTTCCCGCCAAAGTTCTCCACTGAGTGATCAATCCAGAAGTCCCAGCTCAAATGGGGCTTCTGAAGATAGCAGAATCACCTGTGAAAACTGTAGTGAGAAAATTGAGACTGGAAAATTTGTTGATCATGTTCGAGTTTGCTTATTATTGTCCAAATATGACTCAAATTATAAAATTTCAATCAAAAAAGAAACTGTCAAGAGAGAATTAGAGGACTCAGAGAAAAACATGGTATCAGGCTTGCAAAAAGATAAAGATTTTGAGACTGCAAAAGATGGAAATATTGAAGTAAAAGTGAAAAAAGAAGTGGAAGAAAGTGATGAATCTCCAAAAATGGACACAGATTTGAAGAAAGTTGATACTTCAGAATTTTCTGCTGCAAAAATTGATGATGGATGTGGAGATTGCAAAAAGTTGGACATAATAGACCCCAACCTTGGGACAGATGAGGACATTAAAGAAGAGAGCTCTGCTCTATCTGCCATGGAGAGTTTCATTCAGAGAAGCTTCAAATCAGAGTTCAATTACAGAAGAGGTTCTGTGAAAATGGGATCTGCAAACAAAGAGCAGGTAGGCCAAATATCACAAAAGCCCCTTGAGCGATCTAGTCCATCTATAAGACTTGAAAAATATCAAAAATATTTCCATTACTTTTATTCAAGCGAGTCTGATGAAAAAAGTTCCTTGGAGGAAAAATCCTCTACTGATGACATTGGGAAGCTAGAAAAAATGTGTAAAGAGGTGCAAGGATCCAAAAGTCCTAATGTGGAACAAACAAAAGAGACCCTGAGCACTCCTAAGCCAGAGATAAATGGTGAAATCCTTAGTAGCAAATATCTGAATCTGGATGAGGAAGAGAAAAATAAGGACTCATCTTCATCCTCATCCTCAAAATCTTCAGCTTTAGACTCTCTCAGTAGTTTTGTATACAGTCAATCCCTAACCAGTGAACACCCATTAGACAGTCTGCAGAAACTCTTAACAAACAGTAACATTCCTAAAATCATGCCATCACATTCATTGAAAACCTTTAACCATGTAGAAGCTTCAATGTCAACTAGTCCATTGAATCTTTCCCTAAAAAGGGAACTGGACGATGATGACTTGGACTTTTCTGATGGTAAAGACAGTTTCTCTGATCAAGAGAGCAGCCATAGCAGTGACAGTGAGGCTAACATGGACTACCGCTGCGCCGCCTGCAGCCGCCATTTTGCCTCGAAAGGTTCCTACAGGTATCACCTTAGTCGCTGCCATCTTTCCTCTGTCAAAAAATATGGAATTAAAGAAGCCTTCAATATGAGCCCTTATATCTACCTCCCTCTAGATCACACTGCCAAATTCTCCAAGTATTACGAATTGGCTCAGGAGCTTGCCAAGAAAGGGAAGTAATCTAGGGGACTATACCTTTTAAACTTTTGAAAAAACTCATAAATTCCGATGGTCTTTTTTTTTTTTTTTTACTGCATTTCCCCAAAAGGCAGCACTATAATTCAGTCAGAAGATCATTTAGGGATCATTGTGTGATATATCTTAGACAAAAGTACATGTAGTTTTAACATTCCAAAAATCTGGTTTCAATAGTGAAATCGGGCAAGAGATGTAGGTGTCTGCATGTGATTTTTCTTTTCTTTCTTTTTTTTTTTATATGTACTATAAAAGGTTTTGTTATATAATTAATATTTGTGGAAAATAGTGGCTTTGAAATTTTTGATAATGCACTAGAATGTAATGCAAGATGACAAAGTCTTAAAAGTTTTTCCTCTTGTAATGTTTTATTTATGTGCTAATTTAAGTCTATATCCCAGTGTGTTGAAAAGTTTAATCATACAGCTCTATGTCTGTGTAACACCAAAGTTTTATGGAAATCCATGTTCAGAAAAGTTTTAAGATGAAGGATTTCATTAGCAAGACTAAAAAAGGAATTTTTGTGGGTGATAAATTTTTTTCCTCTAGGTATATGACACATACATATATTCTGCATAATATATTGTATAGAATGAACCATTTTGGAATGTATAATTTTTCCAACTAGTTTGTGTAAATAGCTATGCTCTGGGCAAGTAGCAATGTATGAATTAGTTTCTGTCAGATGTGCTTAGAATGGATTTTGGGCTGTAATTTTGGTTGACAGGAAAACGTGTTTTATGTTCTCTGATTAGGAAAAAGCTGAAATCATTATCGGTGTTTGACTCCCCTCATTACAAGATGCATCAAATCACAAAAACGCCTTTCCCCCTCTCAGAGAGAAACTCCTAAATGTCAAGTTATACAAAACATGGGCAATAAATATACTGTTATCTATCATGTTAGAAAATTCTTGCAGGGAGAAATTGATAATTTCTCTCTGTGAAAGAATTGGCTTGAATACTATCCAAATTACACAAGATTTATGTAACAATTTGTACTTTTCATATCAGAATTACTGTTTTGATGGTCACACTGCCTTATTAGATAATGATATCTATAGTAAATATTTTCATATAATTTTTTTTAGAACAAACAAAATTGAAAGTCATGATAGAGGGAACAAAGAATTAGTTCACTTTCTTTGATGTTTAAGACACATCAATCATCTGATATGAGATTATATGTACTGGTAGTTCATCATCGTTATTACAGAGCAAAATTTGGGTTGATTTTGATGGACAACTGTTTATAAGTCCGTCATTAATATCAACAACAGCACCATGCTTTATTCTTGATCCACCCACCTTATGAACTGTGGTTTTGACTAATGGTGCTAAATTTTCAGGTGTTTTGACACTGACATCAGTCAAATTTTGAAATCCTTGTTTATATATTAAGGAGTGTTATTTAATGTTTATCACATAGTGACATGATTGATGGAAAGTAAAAGTACAGGTTAGAAAAATAATTGAAAAATGAATGTGCAAGATTTCCTGTCAAAACTTAATGGGCTTATTTTGAAGGTTGCTCCTTTTTTTCTTATCATACAAAGAATCCTGAATGACAGTGTCTTCAACAAATCATGGTTCATGTCTGAGTTTTGAAATCCATATATATGAAATATATGTGTATAGGCATAATTTTGTTATAATTGTACATATTTAATGATGTTTTTGTGTGCTTTGATTACATATCATTTTTTGTTACTGTACTGTGCTCTTTCTACTACTCATTTTTTTGAAACCTTATTCCAAGTGCCAGCTTTTTGTAGTTAGTTTTTTTTTATTACCCAATTTACAAAGTATCCAAAGATTTAGTTATAAATCAACTTAGTAGTCACTTCCAGGTAATAAAAATTGCCTTCATACCAAATTTTTATAGTTTGAAAAAAAAATTGATTTCAGAAAAAATGAGTTTTAAAGCCATATTGATGCAATCTAACAAGGTTATATTTTCAAATGACATTTTCATTTGACAGCTCTTGTTAAACTGATGACATGGTCATAAAAATGGCAGTTAAAGTCATGTACGTCAAAATCAAGTGATTTGTGGTACACTTATTAAGTGTCTATCCATTTTATTTATTGTATCAACTTTTGTGTATTCTCATTATTAACCGTTATATATTTTATGTTTTACTTATTAAATCAAATGATATGGACACAAACTTATCATGAATTAAATATACAATACCATGAAAATTTTTTGTTATTTTGTATTTTTCCAAATTTTCCTGTGGAAACTTTTTTTCATTTCAGCCATAGTGTGTAGAATAAACCATGACTGCCTAACCTATAGAACCAAACCCTTCTAACTACATATTTTTTTGATAGAAACAAAATTCCTGTGTATGGCACAAATGGTAGTATTCAGTTGGCTTAAAAAAAAAAATAGCTACAAAAGTTTCATTCCAACAACCTGCATGACAAATACAAAGTATTGCAAACTTTTTATATTGATGATTTGTTAAAATTTTCTTAAAATCCTTGTTTGTAGGAATAACAAACTAGAGGTACTGTGAGCACTGAGCTCACTAGATAATACCTCCCGCCTCCCATATGATTATAATGGCAGAGACCCGAAATAAGTGTCAGATCAAAAAGTAAAATAGGAGTTGCACAATGGCACTATGTAGCAAAGATTCTGTGAAAGTCTCATTAAATTTCGTTCAGTGGTATAAGAGGAGTTGCGGATAAGAGATGGGTACCCCAAAGCATAACAGACAGAAGGGCAGACGTACAGACATCCTGGTCACTATATACCCTCCCACTTTTCAAGCGGGGGGTATAAAAACACACATTACACTTGATGGAATCAAAATAAAAAACAAAAACAAAAAAACACTCAGGCCCCAAAATCATAAACAGTTACTGAGAACACTGGCTTAAGTCAAAATTTCAATTCTGTATAACTTTTGAAATGATCAAGAAAATAAAACCCAAATTTTCATTGAGTGTTTGAATATTTTACAAAGTTGCAACATTTCAAGCATGTTTGTTTAATTAACATCAAGATATTCAAAATCTATTTTTTTTCTGTTCATGATCTTGAGGCCAGGTTGCATCGATATCAGAAATGAGCTACCTATGTGTCTTTGTCATAGAGTTCATACCTCAGCAAGTGACTGTCACACAGGCCAAAAGCAGTCTTGTCACAATATGCTCCCAATCCTTTTCAGTTTGCATTTTTTCCTGCCAGTGATCTTTAAAGTTAGATGCTACAAGCAAGCTTTTTTTTAAAAAATAACAACTAATAAATGTTTTTATATATGTAAACTAAATAAGTTTATTGTAAGTTTAATTTCTTAATAATGTCCTATAAAATTACATAGATTTACAAGGATGATACTTTTTTCTTTTTTTTTAATATTTAAGAAATTTGATTTATGAATAGTTTACATCCAAAATAAGCCCAAAAATATATACCAATCCATGCATCCATTTTTTGTTTGTTTGTTTGTAGCATGTGTCCTTCAATTGTACAAATGACTTTAGTCAAGGACATGGCATATCCCAGGTGATGAGCAATCTTCTGATCACCATGACTCCATTTTTTTTCTTTAAGAAAGGTATGATCCAGACACAAATTGTAATCTAATAATGACCTTGAAGTTGACCAAATGACCTTATCAAGATAGTGAGCAATGTGTGTGTCAAGTATAAGCTATCCATAATTGTTTTCTATAATAACGAAAGTTAAGGACTAAACACAGATATAACATCTTAAAATTGCTGGCATGGCCGTAGGAACTGGGGGGAGGGGGGGCCCCAATAATTTTGCCAATATATAGTTTACTTTAGAAAACAGCTATACTATATGCTTGTGCCCCCTCAATGAAAACGTCTGATGACCCTTTTTTTTTTTTTTTTTTTTTTTTGCTTGTCAAGGAATTTTTGGTAGTTGATAGTGCCCCCTCAACTGAAAATGTATAGCTGAGCCCCCCAAAACTGAAATTGCTTCCTACGGGCCTGGCTGGGTCAGGTCTCAAACTATCTGTGTTGTGTTAGCTTTCATCATGTCCCTGTAAAAAAGCTATTATACAGAGAGATGGATGGACATTGTTATAACTTTTCAATTCTAACCTGATCTTGATGAACTTTGAAACAAACCTAATTTTCCTGATTGTGATCAGAAACACAGTTCCACTTTTCCACAATTCGACACTGCTTTTCCGTGAAAAAAATTCTGCTTTTCTGCTACAAGTAATACTGCTGTTCCCCAATTAGATTTTTTGCTTTTCTGTGACTTATTTTACCATGTACCTCTTCCATAAGCTGGGTAAAACCTGTTATCCACTGCCTACCACAGGGGGGTGGAAGTATTTGTTTGTTTTGTTTGTTTGTATGTTGTTTAACGCCCCTTACGAGAATTTTTCACTCATATGGAGACGCCACCACTTGCCGATGGAGAGCTGCAAATTTTGTCTTATACTCGGCACTTACGGCCATTGAGCAGCGAGGGATCTTTTTCGTGCCAGCACCTACTGCGACACGGGACCTCGGTTTATACGGTCTCATCCGAAGGACCGGTCTCCACGTCCCACAGAGGGATTCGAACCCGCGATGTAAGGATCAACTCCTTACTCCGCGACTCTAGAGCAGACGCTCTAACCACTGCGCCACGCGGGCGACGGACGTGGAAGTAGGACTGTCTTGTAAAACACTGGATAAGACTGTCACAATTGATTTAAAACCATTAACACTGTATAAAACAAAGATCAAAAACAAGCATTGGTCTAGATCTTAAAAGATTCAGAGCAAATATTGCATGCTTTCACATTTTCCATATATAATATTTGTTTCTGTATGAACAATTTTTCATAACATCTAAAACCTATCATCGACCAGTGTAAAATGCGAATTCCATTCAATTTTTATCACACTGTGAGTTAGTACTTACTACGGAGTAGAACTCTTTGGGGGAAATACAAGTAAACATTGGCTACCATTTGATGCTAAGCCCTAACCATGACCATTTAAAATCATGGAAAGCAGGTATCAAAAAAAGGAGCTCACATATAACAAACGGTAAAAACCAATTGCAGAAAAACAGTGTGAAATAGTTGTGGAAAAGCAGACAGGTTGCAAAAATAAAATTGCAGAAAAGCAGGACAGCCATCAGAAAGTATATCAGAAAGTATGAAAGCAATTTTGTACTTTTATTAACAAGAGGCCCAAGGGCTTTTATGGTTACCTGAGTATAATCAACCCCTGTGAAGGACCCATAGCAGTACATAATAAAGTGAAATAAACTGATAGATGATGTGTTGCTCCTAAAGAAGAGAAATAGGATGAACAGGGATCAACAAAAGTAGTACATGTACTTCGCAACAACTCAAAGATATATTTACTTGCCTGTGCTTGCCAGTATTAATGCACTACCATTTGTCACCATCACAAGACTAAACAACACAATGGTGCTTGAGCAATAAAACAGCATACACAAATTAATCTTGCACAATCTCATTCACATTGGCCTCTCTTGGTGTTCTAATAACATCTAATTTACAAATAAATACAGCATTTTGTCTCAATTTAGTTAACTATTGATTACAAGTCTACCTGACCAGTACTTTTTGTATTTATACATTAAAATTTGTGTAATTCTTTTATTCAGTATTGACCTGACGATTACATTATTTACAATAATTTTATAATTATCATAGGTGAATAGCATTGGAGAATAACTTTTCTCAAAGTAGAGTACAGATTTCCCTACAAGATCAATAGAATCCTCCCCAGCACAAGAACACATGACCCAGTGTTCAAAAAAATTCCAAATCTGGCTAAAAAAAAAAAAACTCTTGTTCATTACACCTTTGTACTCTGTTTGCCTC